GGGATCAGATGTGTCCCCCTCTTCCCTTTCCAACAAAACGAAGCACCTGAGATCACAGACTCTTCAGTGAAGTGCAAAAGATGACTGAAGAAATTGAGTTTCGTTCTGTCATGAGAAGCACTAGAGTAACATGATAATAAAACCACCTTCCCTATGGGAAAGAGGAGGAAGCCAGGGAATAAATGGTGTGGCTAGAATGATGCATTTATATATTTCTTTCACTTCCAAAGACTGACCTCTCCCAGTAAAGAGATTTGGAGCGGCACTAAGAAGAAATGGCAATTGCCGAATGGAGATATTGGAATAATGCAAGTTCTGTGAACAGGGGCAGCTCTAAAATACAGAGAATAAACAGCCCTTCCTTAAAGGGCAGCATCAAGCAGTGCCTGAGGGGTTGTGCAGGAGTGGCTGGTGGGGATGAGGTACAGAGTGAAAACAGGGGTATCTGAGAGTTAGCACCTGACATGTGAACACATATACATCTAATCAATTTACAAACCATTGACATCAATAATAAAAAGAGCAGCAGCAGCAGCAGCAGCTGCTGCTACTAGACAGCACACAGTGCCAGGTCCTGTCCCTAGAGCCTTGTGTCTACTACCTCGCTGAGGAGTGCTGTCCCCTTTCTTCTCACATGGGTCCATGTGGCCTTTTGCCATTTGGGGATGTGTTTCCTCTTCTAGGATGTCCTTGATGTTCAAGCAAGGCTATTGGTGCTGGGTGGTGAGGACTATGAGGACAGGGAGGGAACCAGGACCTACCCTGTGACTGGTTTGCTGCAGGCTCCTAATCACATGAGGCTGCTAAGAAGGTCAGGGTCACCAGCTGTGACCTTGGGGCCAGTGGAAAGGCCTGTACTCCCCAGCCTCTTGCTTTCTCTCATCATTCTCATTTCTGCCCCTAAATCTACTCACTGTGAAAGAAAAGAAGGGAAAGACTGATGCCTGTAGCTGAAGTGTGCAGTTAAATGGTCAGAAACTAGACTTCTCACATGTAATTGAATCATCATAGTGCTGGTGACAGAGTTAAGACAGTTGAAGAAATGGTTGCTAGTCCAACTTCCAATTTTCAAGTTATTGTTGGGGTTGAAATATCTCTCACCTCAGAATTTTTATTTTGGAAACTCTCCAAAGCACACTTTTAGCCACATTCGAGTAACTGAAACAGGAAAAAAATAGCAGTATTTTCAGCCACATTAAACTCTAACCAGATGCTCTTAGAAAACTTTTTGTATGTACACAGCACCTTTTATTCTAGCGGAGAGTCATGTTGTTCAGTTCTGAACTGTATCCGCCATAGACTGAAAATACTAATACTTCAAGAGCCATGGTAACCACCTGACAAATACATCCTCTCCACATAGGAGGTAAAGAGGACCCCAGTGCTATCTCTAATTCTCCCTCTCTACCCAGGCCACTGGAAATCCAAGTGAAATTAATGTAATGAATATTTACTGCATACCTTCTTTGTACCAGGAACAAAGGTGAAGAACACTGGGAAGTTGGCATAAATTTAACCAACCTGCAAAGTGAAAATGATAGCAGGTTTAGGACATCCGTACAAAGTGTTAGGGCCAGGACCTACCTTACTGGCCCACCTGAAAGACAGCATTTCTGACACTTTTTCTTCTGTTAACCATCAGGCAGAGAGAAATGCTTTTGGCCTTTAGAGGAAGAGCCGTGTGAAGGAAAATTAATGATAGGCTGCCTACAGTCCATGAATTCCCAGGTCACTATCCTTGGGACCACCCAGAGCACAGCCTGGGAGTAGCCTGTTCAGGCAGTACTTAGACCCCCAGCAACCACTTGGACCCTTCCATTCTACACATGAGGGCCAAAAAGATCTTTCCCAAAGGTAAATAGGATCATGTAACCTTCCAGGTTAAAACTCCACAGCAGTTTGCTTTTATACTTAAAATAACATCCATACTCCCTAGTACCACCCCCAGGGCTCCCCCAACCGGGACCCTACTTCCTCCTTCAATCCCACTGCCTCCTCTTTGGCCCACAATACCCCAACCATGCTGACCTCCTGGAGTGCTAGAACATGCAAACTCCTTTCTTGCCCCAGAGCCTTCACGCTTATTGTTCTCAGACCTGAATGCTTCCTCCTCTAGCTCCTTCACATCACTCCCATCTCAGGTTAAATGGCGCCTCTTCAGAGAGAGGTCTCCTCTGACATCTGAGGTTCGCTCCCTCCCCCAATTCTCTGCCACGATTTTCTCTTCCTTTCTGTTGCAGCACTATCACAAGATGTACTTATTATCTGATTTGTTACCTTGTTTTTATTTGATCCTTCCCATAGACTTTACATTCCAAGACAGGACGGACCAATAACATCTGCTTTTTAAATATCATCTCCCCAGTATTCAAGATATGCCTGGACATAGTGGACATGTAATAAATAATTGTTGAATAGATGAATGAAATGAATATAATTGCAAATAATAAATGTTTTATAAAGAAGGGCATCTTTATATTTTATGTTTTTACTACCATAAATACTATTGTACTACCATAAATCCGGATTACTATTAGAGGTTTTTCATGTATTTATTTTAACCAGGACCACCCTGACTGGACTTGAGAAGCTGAGAGAATGGAGAGCTGATGTATAGCTGCAATTAGAACGTTTCAAAAACGATTGCTTTAAAACACTAGGTTTGGCACACGATGCATCTTGAATAAGGGGGAGAGGGGTTAGTCCTTCTAATTTAAAGCTATTTGTGGTTGAGAGCAGAGTTCCTATTATGTACGTGGCATGATGTTCCTTAACTCAAGAAAAATTACAAAGAAACTTAACGTGAAGCACCAGAACACTAAGAATGAATAGCACAGTATATTCCTGGGGAGCTATTGTGAAGCTGGCCTAAGGGGGAATACCCTTGTCACTTTGCCATTTGGCTCTGGCCTAGGCTGCCAAATCATGGAGTTGTTGGAAACTAAGAAGTACCCTGGGTGCCAGTCTTGTGTTTCCAACTATGCCCAGTGGCTAAAATGGAAGATCTTGAGTCTTCACACTGTGTCCTGTGTGGTTCTTTAGCCAGCAAAACCAAATCTTGTAGGTTACCAGAAGCCCACCCACACGAGAAAGGGAGGTCTAGAATTGTCTTACTGCCTAGGGAAGATCTCTAGAAGCCCTGCAGTGGGTCCTGGGTACTTGTACACAGCATGAACCGCAGTCTTTCTCCAGTCACCTCCTGATTTGCTCAAGGGATAGGCCCAAACTTTTCCCTTGGTTTCCTCCATGCATTTAATTTCTCTGTTAGGAATATAGCTCCGCTCAGCACCTAGTTTATTTGCATGGGGTTCTGCTTCCTTGCATAATTCTTATCTTTCCATATCTCTTGCTATCTGCTGCTTGGGATCAGGTCCCAACGCAGGTAGCACACCTGGAATTGTGCTGCAGCCACCTGCCGAGATTCTCCTTGCAGTGTTGAAATATCTCACTTGTAACATATGCTACTGGTTCTGCTTCTGAGAGCAGCCTCACCTATTTCTAGCCCCTCTGGGAGGCCAGCCTCTGAGGTCCCAGCATCCTTCATCAACAAACATGCATTGAGGTGACACCAGGGGCCCCCTCAGAGCACCAGGATAAGTTTGCTTGAGGTGGGAGTGTAAATTAGTTCAACCATTGTGGAAGACAGTGTGGTGATTCCTCAAGGATCTAGAACTAGAAATATCATTTGACCCAGCCATCCCATTACTGGGCATATACCCAAAGGATTGTAAATCATTCTATGATAAAGATACATGCACACGTATGTTTAATGTGGCACCATTCACAATAGCATCACATGTACACATATGTTTATTGTGGCACTATTCACAATAGCAAAGACTTGGAACTAACCCAAATGTCCATCAATGACAGACTGGATTAAGAAAATGTGGCACATACACACAATAGAATACTATGCAGCCATAAAAAAGGATGAGTTCATGTCCTTTGCAGGGACATGGATGAAGCTGGAACAAACTATCACAAGATCAGAAAACCAAACACCACATGTTCTTACTCATAAGTGGGAGTTGAACAATGGGAACACACGGACACAGGGAGGGGAACATCACACATGGGGGCCTATTGGGGGTGGGGGGCTAGGGGAGGGATAACATTAGGAGAAATACCTAATGTAGGTGATGGGTTGATGGGTGCATCTAACCACCATGACACATGTATACCTATGTAACAAAACAGAACGTTCTGCACATGTAGCCCAGAACTTAAAGTATTAAAAGAAAAAAAAAAGTTCGCTTGAATTCAGGGATCACTTTGGGGAAGCTGTGACTGAAGTGGTTTATCTAAGGCTTTATATCAAATACAGGGCACGCAGTAGTATCAAAGTTAAAGCTGAGCCACACAATTTTCATGAGTACAAAGCTGGATGCCATAGCCCTGTCCTTGAGGCACAGGGGCAGCTGCCAGGGCTGAAGCCATCCTGCGCTTTCCTGCCAGGGTGCCTGGGTTGACTCTGTGTCCTCTGCCTAGGATGCCCTCCTTCTTACTCTTTTCCTGCCAGAAACCTACTGCTCCTTGCCCAAGGTGTCCAGTTCAAACAGGTGCATCCCCACCCCCACCCCGTGAGGCCTCCCTGACCTCCACCTCAGGAAGACTCAGAAAACAGGCTACTCAGCCCTACGTTAGAACACTCAGCCTATTAAAATGAGAATTTCATACCGCCTCTCCTATTAGAATATGAGTTCCTGAGTGACAGAGACGGGACAACATTTTATTTTGTCTTTAAAGGACCAAGGCCTAGCACAGTGCTAGGTGCCACACCTAGCATGGTTGGTGTAATACCTCTTTATAAGATGTACAGTTAATACAGAAAACAGGATCAGAATGAAATAACATTTTTAGACAGAAGGAGGCTGAGAGGGGGAAAAAGACTTGAAACTCGTGTATTTTCCTGTTCAAAAGGAGCAGTCTTTGGACATTGGTCCAATTTGAGATGTTGCTAGAATTATCCCTTCCCTCTCTTTTTCTCTACATTTCAGAGAACCAGTGCCTATTTGGAAAAGTAATATGGGTACACAAGGAAGAAAGCGATGCAGTGATATATATCAACAGGCTACTGAACGATGATAGCTATGCCAAAGAAAAGCATTACATAATGACATCAAAATAGGACACTCGAGGAATGTCTTAGAGCTAAAACAGCTGTCACCTGGTATTTTGGCATTATTGAGGAACATGAAGAGATGGTCCCTGGAAACTGGAGAGTACAGATTATTTGCAACAACAATTTTCAGAGGTCAAGAACATGTTTTCCTCATTTTTTAAAAAAGTTAACCTCTTATTATCATTTTCACTTGAGAAAACTATGATGCTCTAAAATGTCTAATACCTAAACACTGCCTATAGGTAGGCATCAAAGGAAGAGAGAAGCTCCCCTCATTATACTAGTTCCTAAATAAACCTGTAAACTTGGAGATATTTCTCTATTTTATAGATTATCCAGACCTTTCACTTTTACATATAAATAATCCCACTCTTAAGGAACATTAAGAACAGGATAATACGTGAAATTCTAACTGTCAATTTTGCTGTTAGTAAAATGTCTGTTAGGACAAAAGTTTACAACCCTGGAATTGAAAAATGACTAATTGGTTTAATATGTGTAATTTTCTTATTTTTTTACCTTCTAGCTCAGTGAGATGCTGTTCCGAAGTTGCTTTCCTCTAGGGCTGCTACTGTCATCTTTTGTTCACTTGGCTAAAGAGGTCAGATGCTTCATCCATTCAAAGATGCATCAATTCTATGATGTGTTGTGTATTGACTATGTGCCAGAGGCTGCAACTGCAAAGGTGGAAGGTGCACTCTGCACTCCAAGAACTTCCCATTAGTGAGGGAGAGACAAGTATGCTTGGCAATTACAGTAACATGGGATTGAGGGTAAAGTGTGGTTAAACTCTGAGTGCCTTGGGAGCACTATGGAGGATTACATGATCCACCCAGCATACAGAGGGGACAGTGGGAAGGATGGGATTTGGGATGTGAATCAAGAAAAAGTAGGCATGCCTGGGGGAAACTGATGTCCTGTGATTTAGCTCTGCTACAAGAATTCACTTTTCCTTTATAATTCATAGAAACAAAATAAATAGACAAATTAATTTATACCTTATATTTTCTAGAATTAGCAATATATATCTGTCAACACCTTGCAGGTATGTGCAGTAATAATTGTTTGTAAAATCTAGCAAAAAGCACAGTATTAGGCTTTCCTGAATCATTTTAAAGTCATTAATTCACAGGCTCACATAATGTTAGTACTAAAATAGAACCAAGACATCTTTTTCAGTGCAATACCTTCACAGAGGAGGAAACTGAAGCTCAGAGAGTCAACAAAAAACAAAACAAAACAAAGCAAAGCAAGCAAGCAAACAAACAACAACAACACAACCACCAAAAGATTAGAAATGTTTTTCTTGATATTTCCCTTCTTTGCTTGGTTGCTTGGTCACCTTTGCGCGGGTGGGACTAAGACATCTTTAGAGAATGTGTTCTGCTTATGGACTCACAATTCTTTCAGTTATCTATAGGACGATACCTACAAGTCAGTCCAATACAGTCCCTCATTTCCTCCACATACAGATACCGATTTTTGGTAGATGCTGTGACAGAAAGACCACAGGAAGGGGAAAGAGCATCTGTCCTAGGGTCAACTTTTGAAAGTTAACTGATGAACTAATATCAATCCATAGACCCAAGGAAGCTTAAACCGAGATGGAATTTTAAGATAATTGTATTTTAGGATCTACATAGGCTGAGACAATTATGTTAGTGCTTGAACAGAGGCTGCATGGATACTCTGCAACTGGAAAATGAACTATTAAAACAACAAATGGCTAGTGTTTCATAAAGTCCATTTCAAAAGTCTATGTCACTAATACAACTGTAAGTGAAAAGCTGTCCTGTAACTCTTTCAAAGCTGACTGATCAGAGGTGAAAAGTCTAATTTAGGATCATTTAATATCTCAAAAGCTCTTAAATATGCCATGTGAAAAGGGAAGAGTTTAAGAAATAACTAATTTTTCTATATTAATAATACAATACTATAGCAATGCTATCTAATAGAGATACAAGCCGTGTATGTTAGGTTAAATTTTCTAGAAATGGTAAAACCAATTTTTAAAAATCATAGTAAATATACAGAACATATTACCATTTTAACCCTTTTCATGTGTGCAATTCAGTGAAATAAAGTACAACTACACTGGTATGCAACCATCACTACTATCTATTTCCAGAACTTTCCCATCATCCCCAAATGAAATTCTATACCCATTAAACAATTCTCCCCATCATTCCTTCCCACCAGCTGTTGATAACCCTATTCTACTTTCTGTTTCTATGAATTCGACAATTCTGGGTACTTTATATAAGTGGAATCATAACAGTATCTGTCCTTTTGTGCCTAATTTATTTCACTTAACATGTCTTCATGGTTCATCCATATTGTAGGATGTATCAGAATTTCAATCTTCTTTAAGCCTGGCTAATACTCCATTGTGTGTGTGTATATATATATATATATATATATATATACTGCAGTTTATCTATTCATTGATGGACATTTGGGTTGTTTCCACCTTTTGGCTATTGTGAAGGTAGAAAAAAAAATAGTGTATCTGTTTTACCCAATATATCCAAATTATTATCATTTCAACCTGTAATCAATATACAAATTATTACTGAGATATTTTACATTAGTTGTTTTCTAATGTCTTTGAGATCTGCTGTGTATTTCATAATTACAGCACATATCCATTTGAATTAGCCACACTTTAGGCTCTTAATAACCGTATGTGGTTAGTAGTTAATGTACTGGATAGCACAGTTCTACAGGAGAGTTTGCATTCAAGATTTTACAAATCATGATTCCTTCTGGATGCCATGATGAATAATTCCACCTTATTTTTTTCTCACATAGCCCTAGTGTTTAGAGTTGGGCCTTGGAAGTCAGACTAAACTGAATGCAGATCCCAGTCTCTTACTAATTAGCTCAGTGATGTTGGAAGGATTACTTAATCTTTCAAAACCTCAGTTCTGTTTTTTGTAAAGTTGGAAAAAAAGACTATTTCTCCCATAGGGTTCTGTCTGAATTAAAATCAAATAACATAAATAAAGTGCTTAATGTACTTAATGTAGTGTTGCCAAAGTGTGACATAATAAATAGCAACTATAATAAAAATAATCCACTAGATTATAGGTTCACATGGGCAAGGGTTATGTCTATCTTTCAGTGTGCCTGACACATGGCAATTATTTATTTATGTGAATAAATAATTGAACTCTTCCCTCAGTCTTTATAAACTTTCATTTCCATGACATCTTTACACCTTCACAGAGATTGCATGATGATTTCTAATACCTCCCTTGCCATGAAGACAGATAATTTATGGTATAGAAAGAACATGAAACTCTTACTCTCATCATTTCCTTTTCTTTTTTATTCAAAAAATTTTGACTACTTCCTTTCCTTTTCCTTGAGAAATCAGGGATGATAGGGCCAAAAAGACTAAGGGCCAAAGGGGCCCTTACCCACAGGGGCAATGAGCAAATATATAAGTAGTCTGAGGATAACAGATAACAGAAACCACCTTATTCTCACTGTTGGGGAAGGGAGTTACAAATATGGAAAGGGTTAAAAGCTAGATTGCCTCTATGGTGTTAGATTGGAAATAGAGCAATCAGTGTGATCTCATAGTCTTTAATATAAATAGAGCAATAGATATAGGCGTGTGTGTGTGTGTGTGTGTGTGTGTGTGTGTGTGTATGTGTGTGTGTTTCCTAGCCTATTACCTGAAAGGGCCTGGAAGCAATGAGCTCACACAATCCCCAGATCTTGGTTTCTAAATATCATTTTCCATAATGGATGGAGGTCTTCTTGAAGATATGGCTAATTCCAGAGTTGGGCAGAGAAAGTACAACATGCTTATGGAACATTTTATTACCAGAAGGTAAGAAAGTACTCAAAAAAACATGAAGGCCACATCTGAGATCATTTGAGCATTAAAATAAATAATGATATTAGTGAGTTATAACTCATTCAATAAAACAGCAATTTATGAGCTCATGTTGATAGAAACAAAAAAATAAGCGGGGAGAAGGGAATGCTCTTCTTCACACTAAGAATGTTTACCTAGTCTCCAAGTATCTCCCCACAAAATATTTATTAACTGCAAAAGGAAAAACTATAATTTTACCGTGACTAAATCTAACAGATATCACCTTAAGCAAGTGGGTTTGGTTACAAGACTAACTCCATTGATGTGACTCCTGATATGATTAAGAAGAATACAGCATTGTTTCTGTAGTATTCCTGCCACAAAAATACACAATTTCAATCTTACAATGACGAAACATCACACAAATCGAAACTGAGAAACATTCTACAAAATGTACTCTTCAAAAATGTGAAGGTCACACACAAAAAAAGGAAAACTACAGAACTGTTCAAGATTGAAGGAAAGCAGAGACAAGACAACTAAATGCAACACATAATCGTGGGCCAAAAGAAAAAATCATTTTTTTTCTATAAAGGATATTATTGAGACATTTGGTGAAAAGCTGAATGGGATCTATGGATTAGAAAGTAAAGTTGATTTACTGAATGTAATTGTTATACTGTGGTTATGGAGAAGAGTATACTTATATTTTTAAGATAATCACACTAAAGTATATAAATTAATTCAGAAAAATATATACACACACCAAAATAAACTCACAGGGGTAGAAAGGAGGATGAGAGAGAGAGGGAGAGAGAGAAACAGAGAGAGAGAGAGAGAGAGACAGAGAGACAGAGAGAGAGAGAGAGAGAGAGAGAGAGAGACAGAAAGACAGAGAGACAGAGAGAGAGAATACAACCAGTGTAAAATGTTAAACATTGGAGAACCTGAGTGAAGAGCATATGGAAATTCTTTGTTATTCTTGTATCTTTTCTATAAGTCTGAAATTATTTTGATGTTAAAAATTAAAAATAAAGAGCATGGGCTTTGGAGTAACTCAGATTCCATTTTGAATTCTCAGTCTTCTATCATCTGTGAGACCCTAGGAAGTTATGAAATTATTCTGATCTTTGGTTTTCTCATTTGATCACCAGGAGTAGGACTAATTTAAAGGGATGCTGTGAGGATTAAATTAGATGATGCATGACTTGAGCACTGGGCAGGTGGTAGGCATGTCTGGTAGATAATCTGATACATAATGGATGCCGAAACAGACATTTGTTGAATAAATGAACAAACTCCTCCCTTCTCTCCAACCCCTCAATCTGAACAAGTGATGCTACTTAAAGAAAATTAGATGCTTCAAATTTTAGCAATCCAAAGCATGAAGTTTTTCTTAACACTTGAATAATATAAAACAAAATGTCAAATAATAATAATAAATAATAAACATACCACCATGCATTCTGATGTTGCTCTAGAGTTTCCTCAGCACTTTGCCCTCATGTCTCCTGTGACACTAAATGGAGGCAGGCATTCCAGTTTGAGTCCAACACAGTGTTAATAATAGCGAATGTTTACAGTGCCTTGAGTTATGGGTGTCAAAGAAGGGGTCATGCCCTTGTTACTTAAATCTCACACAAGGCTTCCATCGGTTCATGGCTGCAGGGTACAAAATGAGGTGCAATTTAATGTCCATCTGGGCATCTGTTCCTCAGGTGCTAGCACTGCTGTCTGTGGTTCACGGTATATCTGGGGTAGCAACACAGCAAAGAAAGGGACCCAAGTTGTGCCTGGGAAGTTTCTACTCTCAGCCAAGATGTGCACATGAATTTAAAATTACCCAAGAGGGTGTTTCAGAGTTGCTGGCCAAAGAGTGGTGTCTTCTAATCTGGAGAGCAGCTGCTGGGCACAAACATGCAAACACACACACACACAGACACACACAC